AGGACGACCTCGAGGACGATGCCTAGAGATGATAACAAGGGATCACGACCTCACTATCTAATAATGCCAAGGAAAACTGACTCACGCTGGTTGCCCCTTATTCTAATTTTTATTTATTCATACTTGCCACGACCAATGGGTAGGTAGGTAGGTAGAAAACGTTTATTGGAAGCCAAGAGCTACGAATAGAAAGATTATCCGCGCCGCGATGATCCTCGGATCTGGCAGCCTCGTTCTTGCGTGATTATGGGTAATGAGGGATGACTGTGCGATGGGTCATGAGGGGTGTTTTCATGTGGAGTCCCCCAGATCTGTCTTGGCTACGGAGTCCAAAAGCGACTGGAGGATCCTCGTCCGGCGTTGGGCTTCGCCCTGCGGGTGCGTCCAGTCCACAAGTCTCTTGGGTCTCTCTTGGGAGCTGGTTGCCCCCTCTTTTTATCTTTATTTATTCATACTTGCCACGACCATTGGGGAGTTGTCTGTTGACATGTGCATAAGAGCAACCGTACAGATTCCCCCCTCCCCCCTTTATTGATTACAAATCGCCGGAACAGCTGGACGTTCCAGAAGTCCGCGGCCGATATATGATGTCATAGCCTCCTCTATACTGACAAAGCCCGGCAGATAGTCACGTGACGCGGCCGCCGAAAGTTAAAAGGTAGAGCGGCAAACAACGGATAAGAGGATGGATGGATGGATGGATGAATACGGCTGAGCCCTTTGGATCGGGCGGTAGCTTACGCCACCTAGCCATTTTGTTTTACCATTTAAGCTTAGAATATTTAAATGTAAAATCTATATTCACTCCGCAGTGCAAAGAAAGTGAGGCTATGAAACCCCCTTGCCATCAGTGGATAAGAAAATACCTAGTTTTCTCTCGATTTCTGCCACCATTCACTTAATCTTTGCTTGGTAATCTCTACAGTCTTAAAATCCACTCTCCCTTCGCTGTCTCTAAAACCCAATGACTTTATTAAATCTATGTTGTCTTCGGTAGGCATAGGGTGAAGCCCTTTACAGTAGAGTATCAAGTGCTCAGCCGTGTCGTCCTCCTCTCCACAAGCAGTGCACACTGTGTCAATTTCCTGGTACTTCACTCTGTATGTTCTGGTTCGCGGAACACCCGTTCTTGCCTCAAACAGCAATGAGCTTCCCCTAGAATTGTCAGAAATGCTTTCTTTGGCAATAACTCTTTTGTTTAATCTATAGCTTTCCAGAGCCGTCTGTGTCTGCATTCCCTCTAGCCACCAATCTCTTTCTGTGGCCTTAACTTTCTTCTTAACTGAGACTTGCTCTTCCGTATCTTCGCTGTAGCCCAAAAACTTTCCTCTTGATTTCCTAGTGCGCTGTCTCCACTTTGTGTCTACACTCCTCATGTATAAATAGCGGAAAACCTTTCGTGCCCATTGCTCCCCGTCCATTTGCCTCAACCTATCCTCAAATTCTACCTTGCTCACCGCTTCCCTGCTCTCAAATGATGCCCATCCCATGTCTCCTTGTACTCCCTGGTTTGGCGTTTTGCAATGTGCCCCCAAAGCCAGTCTACCTACTCCGCGCTGTTTCATTTCTAGTCTCGCATGCACTTCGGATTTCATGCATAGCACTGCGTTTCCAAAAGTCAAGCCAGGCACCATGACCCCTTTCCAAATCTCTCTCACCACCTCATACCTGTTGTAATTCCAAAGTGCTCTATTTTTCATTACAGCTGCATTTCTGTTGCCCTTACCTATTATATACTTTTCATGGTCTCTGAGATATTCTGCACCATCACATATCCATACTCCTAGATACTTGTATTTACTAGCTCTCTCAACTGTAATATTCTGTATCTTCAGCCTCTCAACTTCTTCCTCGTTAAAAATCATGACTGCCGATTTTTCGCTACTGAATTCTAAACCTAATTCCTCTCCTTCCCTACCACAGATGCTCATTAATTCCTGCAACTCTGTCCTGTTGTTAGCCATTAGTACAATATCATCCGCATACATCAATCCCGGTAAGGATTGCTGAATTTTTTGGCCTAGCTTACTGTAAGAAAGGTTGAACTCAAGCCCACTCTTCTCTAGTCTATCCTCCAATCCTCTCAGATACAACATAAACAGCAAAGGCGATAACGGGCACCCCTGCCTAAGGCCTCGTCTTATCTCTATTTTCCCTGTCGCCTTTCCTTCCCATGTTATAATCACCTTGTTATCTTTGTAAATGTTCCTTAATAGTGCTGTTAGTCCTTCATCTAGGTTTAAGTTCTCCATTATGTCCCACAGGTTTCTTTGGTTCACATTGTCATAGGCACCCTTGATATCCAGAAATGCCAGCCAGAGCTGTCTGTTTTCTTTTTGCGCTATTTCTATACACTGTGTTAAAGAAAATAAATTGTCCTCCAACCTTCTTTGTTTTCGAAACCCGTTCTGTAATTCGCCCAGTATGCCCTCGCAATCTACCCATTCCTCCAGTCTGTTCTTTATAATCTGCATTACCAACCTGTAAATAACCGGTGTCACGGTTATAGGACGATAATTCCTAATATCAGACTTATCTCCCTTTCCCTTATATATCATACTCATCCTACTAAGCCTCCATTCATCTGGAATATTTCCTTTTGTTATCATGGTACTCACTACCTCCCTTAGTTTTGCCTTAGATTTAGGACCCAAATTCTTCACCAGCTTGATAGGGATACCATCTGTGCCTGTCGACGTGCCACTAGGGACTCTTCGTTCCGCCTTTTCCCATTCTCTTTGTCCAAAATCCGCGATGTCACAAACTGGACTGCTACTTCCTTCGGTTCTCCTATCTTCCACATGTAACCGTTCCCGAAATTTCTCCTCCATCACTGCTCCTATATATTGTATCGCATCATCTCCCTCTAATTGATCTCCCTGATGCGAGAGTATGAACCTCTGTCTAGCTTGCGTTGTTTCACCGAGTGAGTTCAAGTGCTCCCAAAACTTCTTGGCAGCGTTTCTATCTTTCTTACTTACATTACTCATCCATTCCTCACCCTTTCTCTGAATTTTCGCATTGATCAAACTGGATGCCTCTCGGCGACATGTTATAAAATTGTCCCATTTTCTTTTTACTTCCGTTTCGGACTCCCCACTACGCTTGGAATACCTGTGTTCTCTAGAGGCTTCCTGACGTTTTTGTATCGCTTGCTTCACTTCTTTGTCCCACCAGCTTTTTGGTCTATGTCCTTGCTTCCCCTTTCGTTTACTCTTAACTTTGTCTAGTTCTAGAGCAAAAAGCCTAGTTAGGCTCTCATAGGTCCAATCTGTATGCCGGTGCCCTGAAACTGCTGCCTCTATTCTTTCAACAACTATTTCCAACTCTTTGTCGCTGCAGAAAGTTTGCTTTGAATTATGTTGTCTAGTTTCAGGATTTACTTCTCTGGCAAAATTCAGCTTAATACGTTTGTGATCACTACCAAGACTTTTGGAACCTTCTTCATCTATTTTCATTACTTGTAACTTACCATATATTTTGTGTGACATGAGTACGTAATCTATAGTTGAATGCAGATTGCCAGTTTCCCAAGTTATGTGCCCGTCACACTTCTGACTGGTATTACATAAAACTAAGTCATGTTTTTCCACCAGTTCTAGTAATATGCTTCCAGTTGAGTCCGTATACCCATCCAGACCCTCAATATGGGCATTCATGTCTCCCATAATAATTATTTCGGAGCCTTCCCCTAGTTCACTAATGTCTCTTGATATGCAATCAATCATTTTTCTGTTTTCCTCTTTAGCACCTGTCCCTGTCCATAAGTAAACCACTCCAAGGACTGTTGATTCCCCAGCGACTTTTCCTTTCAGCCACAAATGTTCGGCGCACTCCTTTCTGATCCTTTGAAAGTTCATATTCTTCTTAATAAATGCTCCAATTCCACCTCCCTTCCTCGTTCCCTCCATTCTGTTGCATTCTTCCCACACATAGTCAGGGTTGCAAGGTGGCTGCTCCATGTCTCTGAGATGTGTTTCCACAAACCCATACACCATTAAATCCTCCTTTCTTAGTTGCTCCTCTACCTCTTCCCATTTTAACCTATTTCTACCACCCTGCATGTTAATATATCCAATGTCTGATTGTGCTGTTTTTTTATACCTGTTCTTACGTTTTCTCCTCTTTTTAACCCTGGGTGCCTCTCCTGACTGAGGAGAGTCATGTAACGGGCGCCCCGCTGCGGCGAGACGCCGAAACACACTATACTTTTTTTTTTTTTTTCCTGTTGGCGAGGGTAAATGGAATGCGACCCCTTCCCCGTTTCGGTTTCGTCTCTTTCGTTTGCGCTGAAAACCAGATCCTGGCGCTCTAAATCTGCGACCGGGCGCTCCATGGGATTCGTTGTCGAACTGCCAGGCTTTTTTTTTTATATTAATTATAATAATAATCTTTATTCAGCCTAAAGGGCTGCGACACCACAGAAAGGCCATTGGCCCATACCTGAGGCCTGCAGTGCCGCATTACTACAAACAAAACAAAACAAAGTAAGAATTGGCTTTGTAAGAATGAAGGATTCTATGATGATGCAGAGACATCTGACGCGACACACCTTCAAAACTTTGCCGCGGCGCCTATTCTTGATCGGTATCAAAGAGTGTGAAGAGACAGAGACACATCATTTTGGCGTGCCAAGAAAGCTTTCATCATGTCGCAAGACCGACGAAACTTGCTTGCTACAAATTTTGCCATTTTTCTGCGACATTGCGGCTTTGTAAATTTTTTTCACGTGTTTTTAACGGCAAGCCTCAACGCTTACACAGGTTCTGATAAAACTTCTTTTGGCGAATGTCGACGAACGAGTAGAAAACGTGTCCTCACCACGCTGCCGGAAGCCTCTGCAACGCTAGCGAAATTTTAATTCGTTTACAAGCAAGATGGCCATCTAGTGGCTTCATTCGCGGAAGCGGGAAGCGCGATCCAGCAATTGTAGAGATCAGTGGGTTGTCCCTACTCGGTCCCTAGCGCTGGTCCCTAGGGTCACTAGCACAGTGCTCCCTAGGTTGCCTAGGTCTCTGACCAATCACAGGGAGGTGGTTGTTCTCTCTTTAGTTTCTCGGCAGCATCCGTGGCTCTTTGGCAGCTTTGGCTCTCGCTTTGCTTTCGCACTTTGACGCGAGCTAAGAAGGAAGCTGCGAATTTCAACATCGGACGGCATATTTAGCCTTCGACCCATGGGATGTCTCGCGTTTCCTTACGTTGCACCGTGATTTGGGTCCTGCTGACGCCGGTTTTCTGGGGCACTCGGGCCCGCACAACAGAGTAGCATCACAACAAGCCACACGTGAGTGATTGGGCGGGTATCGCGTGGCCTTTTAAAGAGCCTCGCCATAAGATATCCCGTTAGCAACGGCGCGAACTATTCACTCGTAATTACCGATAAGATCGAGGAAAGTGTTAGGGTTGTGCACATGTTTTGAATGCGTAGTGACACGTATCAGCACGATTGTAGACTCCGTGATCGATGGTCGATCGCTCGTAGTTTGTTTACGTGCGATCTAAGTTATGCCAGCGTTGGTCAATATGCTATAACTCGACACAAACAGCTTTTTTCCTTCTTTTTTTTTTTTCTTTTGCAGCTGCGTGCGGTTGCGATAATCATAATAAAAACTAAACGTGCTCATTGAAGCGTTCGAATCATCATTTCAACTATATCCGCTCGACCTACAACAAACAAGGAAACCGCATTGCATAACACCGTTTCGCTCCCTATCTTACGCTAGCTCCAGGTCCTTGTAGCTTATCAGAGCCACTGCTGATTAAACACTGATTATACTGCAGCCACCGACTCTCTTCGTAATATTTTTTTTCATTCTTTTTTTGGGCGCTGGCATGGCTTGAGGACAACAGCTAGGGCGTTTAGCTGGGACGATTGCCGTTTTGACTTTTTATTCCAGAGCAAGATGCGTGGGTTGCTGTCCATCTGCGATCATGGCAGTTAATAGGCCGGATCGTACAGCTCTGGCCCAAGCTTTGAGTTGCCGGATGCGTTGAGCGACAGTCCCACAGACAGGCATGGCGAAGTGTGAGTCTCGAGTTTCGTTTCAGACTGTGCAAGACCTTGTTGCGTGGCTCGTGCTAACTGTTTTTGCAACGGCAAAAAGCAAAAAAAAAAAAAAAAAAAAGCGGCTAGACGAGGTTTTGCAAGGGAGGTGCCTACATGTACTGTACGTTTCCCAATGTGCATATGTAAAATTGCTCAGTAATCTTGCTTTGATCTTTTTTTTTATGCGTTAGCATGAGTGTTTTGTTTAATGGTAATGCTAATTCGAATATGTTCTGGCACTTTTTGCGTGTGCAGTCTTTTATATTGTTACCTCCGGAAATAATAGTTATAAAAAAAAACCAAAAAAACCTTTTGAACATGCTTAAAAAACAAAGGAGCTGGTGATTGTTCATCTTGACACAAAAACCTGTAAATAGGTGTAGCATAGCTCAGGGATTATTTGACAGACCGCACACTAATTTAATGTGGGAGAGGTGTTTAATGTGTGATCTGTTAATGAACTTTCTCACTTTGCTTGAGATCCTGTGGGTCTCGCAAGTCTTGGCTTTTTTTAATTTTTTTATAAACCTTCCAAAACGTCTAGGAGGCTTCGACTTCTGATAACTCTAAGAAAATCTTCCTTTAAGGGTTACTAACAATTATTAATTTGTTTATTGAGTTACTTATGGTTTTACCTGGAGGCCTCTTGGTCTTGTGTAGGGTAGCATAAATGGAAGTGGTGGCTGTGAGAGAAGCTGGAAAAGCTACATGGTTGAAAAAACCCTGAGACTGCGGGTTAACGACACAACACTAAAGCTACACCTGCATTAGAGGCGGCAAATTTTTTTTTTTTTTTAAGGTGTATATAGGAAATATTGGAATTTCGAGACATAGCTTCAGTCTTTTGAAAAACTAGAACGACATCCTTGATATGGCAGAAGAGTGAGTGCACAGGCAAGGTGGTGATTACATAACATTTAAAAACCTGAGACGCAGAAGGAGGAAAAAGTCACGCTAAAAGGACACACGCATGTGCACTGTCTGAAGCTGCACGTGTCTGTGCGCTTGCTTTTATATGTCTCCTTCCTTCTTCCGTGTCTCAGGTTTATAGTTCTGTTATGTATCCTTGATGCTTTGAACAGTGAGCTGCATCGCGGGTGACCGAAGCCCAAAGCTTGTGGCACCATCTCCCGATAGATGCAGCAAGCACTTAATCGAAAGCACACAACACCGTCTTCTGCTTGCTGTGCCTGTCGGGAGATGGCGCACGACTCTCGAGTAACTCTGTGGTCTGCGTCGTGGCCCGCCGTTGAAAATGTCATTGATGCTCTATATACGTATGGACGAGTGATCAAAAGAATGTAAAACACACAAATAGAATTGAAGTACTATGGATAAAGTGAACATATTCCTCGGGCCCCAGAGCCAGACGCGTGCCGGCGGGGGGAGGGGTGGAATTATTGTGTTGCGAGACTTTAAAAGTTTACATTTCGGTAACAAATCACACCTTTTTATCATATCGTATACACTGTGCGCATTTCTTTTTCTTGCAATTTGCATACTGTTTGGCATGCACATCTACTACATTTGGTTGGAATATTTCTTTAGTATTAATGTATTAATTTTTGTATACTACGTCCATAGTTCTGTTCACTAGTGATGGACCGAATCTGCCGAACTTCAGATTCGGCAAATATGTGCGCACGCGCGAGAACGCGACGGGGCCATGGATTGCAAATGGACGCCGTGTGGTCGTGCGGTTGCCATCGCACAGTGTAGTACAACCAACGGTTACGGCGAGGTGTGGAGTAGGCAGCATGGTAACCGTGCGTTTGTGTACCTTTTTGAGTGTGGTTTTATTCAATATTTTTTTCCTCAAGAACAGAAGTTCGACCAGTAATTTACGGAGTCTACTGCGCAAGTGACGAATGAAGCGGGACATCCTAGATAACCTGATTTTCATTTAGCCTTTCCAGTGATGCCACGAGGTCGTTGAAACATTGGCGGATAACTACTTTAAAGCACTTCTCGCAATTATAACAATCCTGTTTTCGGCTCACAAGTAGTTTGTGCCAAAACAAAATAATATTGCATTTTAATTAGCATTATTTCGCGGTTTTCATGTATCTGCATAAAACTAAATGCAGGACTCATGCTCGAGTCCGTTGCACATCTGACATTCCTAACTCTTCCTATCTTCCTAAACATCTGTGTGTGTCCTAACACCAATAATTGGCAGTCTGAGGGTAAAAACAGGACGTTGCGAATATGGGACGCACACTTTCATGCAAAGCTGACGTCAAGCGACTCAAGTCGAAAAACATGAATATTTACAATAATACTGTTGTCTCTTTGGGTGAAGGCTCAGCAACTGTTGCATTCGTTTTTCTGCACAGAACGGTGACTCCCAGAGAAAGTAAGGGTGCAGTGTTATTGCCTTTATTTTAAGAATGTAGACACACGTGCAGGCCTGTGCTGATGAGGCCTCAAATCCAGAATTCGCTTAGCGTGATTCGTGTCTGCGTCAGCTACTACCCAACCTCGTTGTCACGCCACTTCTGCAAGAAGTCACTGTAAACTTGCCAGTGAAGTCTGGTAACAATGTATTTTTGCCGAATCTTTAGAAAAGTTCAGCAAAAGTTTAGCTTTGCCAAATCCCAAGATTCTGCGCCCAATTTTCGATTTGGCAAAAGTTTGGCCCATCACTACTGACTGCTCACATGTCATACGCAAATTAACCTTCAGCATCTTCTCTGCCGAGCATATCTTGTTCCTTGATGAGAGAAAGCACTCTCTCACTGCTGTGATTGTTTCGTTTAACCGCACCTCTTATCTTTTCGCAATCTGGGGGAGCTGGAGCGGGACAAAACGCCGTCCCACTAGCACGCTGGCGGGACAGTGGGACCATGGCCGGAAAAGCGGGACCTGTCCCGCCTAAATTGGGATGTCTGGTCACTTTAACTTTGGATGTCATTTGGTAACTTACATATATTAGGTTTTTAATAACCCACTTTACCATCCTCCTCCTCCCCTCATTTGGGAAGGTAGTGCGGCTCTTTCATGGTGGCTAGATCAAAACATTTCAGAATCCCTGCACTACCAAATTCATCAACCAAAGTTGTCTTGCCAACCCAAATTGTTTTCTCGTAATTCCAACAATGAAAGGGACATTTGTTTTTCTTTTCAGTTCGAGTACCGGGTCGCTTTGTGCTGGCCAGCTTGCTGTTTGGAGGAATGACAATCTTGTCGACACAGAAATTTGACCTTGGCATTGCCATTATTGCCATGGTTCACGAGACAGCACCTCCGGCGGTGTTCAAGGAACCAGAGAACAACACGGTGCTGTTACCTCCCACGGCATGTTCAAATGTTGCGAATGGCACTTGCGAGGTATGAGCACGATTTCATATACAATTTTCTTACAAGATCGAAAAATCAATGTTGGAGAAATTACATCTATTAAGAGTTTGGACTAGCATCTAGACAGACATGCAGTGTGTTTCAAACAGTATTTGCACCATAAAATAAGCCGACCAACTTGGTAGTCACATTTGGGGAGCTACCGCTTTGTTTAAGAGAGTATCGGAGTGATTGGTCTTGCCTGATGAACTTGAGAGCTACTTCAGTACTGTAAAATATGAAGTTGAGATTCTAGAATCTGTTCTGTGGCAGGCCCAAAGTGTAGACAAGAGAATGCATTATTATAATGACTTGAATATTGTGCTAGCTGTATATCGTAGCTTTATACCAGTAGTATCTCAAGGGACGCAGTGTGGCCCTCCAACTTAAAAGCAGAAAGAGCCGATGAAGTGCACCAGGAACTGTACTGGCCAAAGACAGATGGGTGTAACTAACTGTTGGAAGGAAAGGATGGCAGACACAACAGCCGCTGTGGGAAAGGTGTTTTCTTTTAAAGCAAAAAATGGTTTCAACGGAACCACCTAACCCCAAAAGTTTGTCCTTCCGTCCGTCCGTCGTCCATGCATTTCAACCGCAAAATTTAGAGGGGCAATTGACATCATGTGACCACATTGCTTGAGGTCGGGTCACATTGTTAAAGGTACACTGACAGGGTATTTATGCTCGCCAAGGTTTTCATTTCTACATGACATATCAGAAACCCAACTACCCAGAACACAATTTGCGACTTGAAACTCGTTTTCTTTCCGCCCGAAAACTGCTATCCCCACGTTGTCACCGCAGGGATAGCAAAGCTTGATGACGAAATCCTGGCATTTGCATCGTTGACGACGCCAATGATGCAATTCCCAGAACTTTGTGATCAAGTTTTGCAAAGGAGAGACAGAAAGAAAACGTTCGCTCTCATCCTTGCAGTCATGCGGTGACAAAGAAGGTTCTTGATCGGTGGCGTTGTGATTGAGTATAGTACTTGGATCCCACTAGCTTGTGTAAAGTGAGAAACATTTGTACCCAATATCATTTCAAGGACACTCTAACGTCTTTTAAACAAATTTAAATGATCGCTCCTTAAATACTTCACTTCATGCATAATTTTTAAGACTTGAAGATTAAGGTCGCTCTGTATTTTTTGTTCCACCACTTTTGTCTCATTCCTAGTATTTCGTTTTCTTTCCTCACTACCGTAACATTCCGTGAGGACACCTTCCCTGGGGAGATCGCCCATCCCGTTTTTCTGGCTAAATATCTGCAGCATAAAAATTCCGATACATCACCCACCCCCTGATTCCCGTCGGACGTCATGCGATGTCCGACAGGAATTGCATCAAAGAGCGCGATCTACGGTACCGATACGTCTGACATGCGAGTTCAGATCGGGTTTCGCGTTTTTCTCCGCAATCTGCGCATGCGATATCGGCTCACAAAACACGCAAATTGTTGCCGCATGTATATTGCATTGTGAAATGCGATTCTGCTGCATCCACGATCTGCGGTATTTGTTCACGTGACATGCGAGTTTGTAACAGATTCCCGGGTTTTTGTTCACGATCCGCGCACGCGATATTGGTTTCCATGACAGGAAAGTCTGTACAGGGTTTCCGTGTGTTTATTGCATTATGAAACTTAAATCTTCTGCTTCCGCAATATCCGTTTCCATGAGATGCGAGTTCTCGGCGGGTTTCCGCGGGTTCTTTGCACCGTGAAACACGAATGTGCTGCGTCCGCAGCCTGCGGTATCCTTTCCCGTGACACAGAGGTTTGTAGCGAATTCCCGCGTGTTTATCGCATTGTGGAACGCGAATTTGACGTGTCCACTATCTGCGGTATCAGTTCCCGCGTCATGTGGTTTCTAGTGGGTGCCCCAGTGTGTATCATTCACTTTTGATAAAGTTTTGCTGTGGCATCGCCAAAGATATCCCACCCCATGTTTTTCACCATTTATCTCTTCATTTTCGGTGGGCGTTCGTACGGAATTTTACAGTATGCACATTTATACGTAGCGTTTAACCCCTTAATCGTTTTGGACGAGCCTAGCTTGTCGATGAGTCATCTCAAAATTGTTCAAGACGAGTGTAGCTCGCCTGCTTTTCCCGGTTCATGCACTCGACCGTTTTGGTTGAACCAGCGCTGCTCGCTCATGGCTTAGTTTGTGGCTCTGCCAACAGATGGCTGCACAGACTTCTTTTAAATCTTGCCCCCATTTTATTTGTGGCCTAGAAAATTTATTATGAAGGCAGTGATTGAGCCCATAATTAACCCAAAACAAAGAAATAAAAAACAAGAAAAAAAACGAACAGAACAACGAAGTTGAGACTTGGTTGTTCTTTTGTATTATTAAGGCTCCCAAGGTAAACCTTTTCTTAATCAAAAATCGACATACATCAGCTTTTTCTTAAAAAGAAATGATTAGTTTCTGCTGACAACAAATATTAGGTCAACAAAACAGATTTGGGCAATGTTTCGTTCATGATTTTATCTCCTTACAGACCCCCCCCCCCCCCCCCCCCTAGCTTGACCCATAAATCTGCTCGTGATGTCATTCATCAGCTTGCCTGCATTTTTTCTCTATCTTAACATTAAAGCAGATGAGAATCAGAATTTCACTAAAAATAAAAAAAAGCAGTTAGAAAGTAATATTATTTTTGGTGTCTCTTTTTTTTTTCCATCTTTAAAGTACCTGACGAAACACCTTTTTCTTTTCCTTCCCCCTTTCGTAGGACGACGATGAGCGCGCAAACCGCTTCTCGACGTTTGCCTGGTCGCCCGCCATTCAAGGGGTCGTCCTGGGGTCGTACTTCTACGGCGTCATGGTGCCGCAGGTCCTGGGCGGCCGCCTCGCCGAGCGCTACAGCGCCAAGTGGGCGCTTGGCAGCGGCATGCTCGCTTCTTCCTGCCTCTCATCCATGACCCCGTGGTCGGCCAGTCTCGGGGTGGCGCCCCTGGTCGTGCACAGGATAATCCTCGGCTTTGTGCACGTACGTACGGGGCCCGGACCTATGAGGAGTGCAAGTTTGTCTGCTTCTTGCTCAGGGGTTACACCAATGTCAGAATGCTGAGCTCCGATTGGCTCGGATCGAGGGATCCTGGGTGCACCTCAGTGCAATCTACCTTGAGGTCTACCCACTCTCCTTGCAGTCGGAACCAGTCGGAGCTTGGCATTCTGATGTCACCATAACCCCTGCTCAAGAAGCAGATGAACTTGCTCTCTGCATTCATTTCGTTAGTTACCCGAGTGCTGTTATCACTAGGTTAGAGTTGGTCAGTCAGCACCGGCGAGTTATCCGGCACTATCGCCATGGTGCCTGAAGCGCATCTCTGACTGGTGTGTTTACATCGTCCTAAGGAGTGATTCCTCATTTTCCACCCGATGACGTCATAAAAACATTGCATCAATGCCGACTGCGATCCTGTCAGCGTCGCGGCGGTGGTGGTGAATGTGGTGGTCGCCTGTTCTACTGCAGAGTGCTCTCCATCTTGAAAGACTATAGAAGCTTTGGTAGCCAGGAGTTAGGATGCCGCGACCATGGCGACATTTGCATCCTCTCGTGCTTTTTCTTCCCGAACTTCTACATCCAACCGCCAGGACTGCTACGTCCGACAGCGTGACACTTCAGCCTTTCCGACGTTATTTGTTATCACTTCAGGACCGCTTTCAATACATGGGCGGGACAGGACGCTAAACACCCCAGTCGGAAACGCGTGCCGGACACCATACTATTGCCTCCTACGGTCGTTCCACAATGGCAGTCGTTTGTCTATGCTGTGAACATAAGTTGTCATGCCCATAGTTTGTGGCATTGATAGCAAACATTTGGGGTCGTGGGTTGGCACTTCTTTTAATTTTAGATCCGACATTAAGATATTCAGGCAGCATTGTTCTTCCCTGCCAGGAACAGAAAGTACAAGAGGCACTCTCTGCCAGAAAAAGAAACTGTTGGAGGCCAGCAACGGTAATCACAAGCAATGATATGACTTCTGTTTTGTTACTTTTATACGTCACTTACTTAGTGCCTTAGACAAACCGTAGGACCGGAGCCATTTTCGCCGGGCCAGTTTACTAACTACAGCTGGGGAGTCTGGCAACCGAGCTGCTTTTTTTGGCCTCTTGGCAAGATGATGCAGAACAGGGGACATCACTCTGTGCTTCCACGATGTCGACTAGATTTAGCAGAGCCCTGTTTGCTTTTTAAACTTTGTTTTCCTACACTTCATTTCACCTTATAGTAGACTCCAGAGGGCTCTAGTGACCGTCGAAGCCAATTCAATGCGGTGCGAGTGTCGCGTGACCTTCGGGAGGGTCATAGCGTCGAGTGAAGCATGTAGTTACGTGATTTGTTCGTGGCGCTGGATCAGCTGGGATGGCTCAGTGTCCTCTGCAGTTCATCATACGTAGGATTCCACATTCTCGGAGTTTAATTTTTGTCATATTAAGAGGTTTTTTTTCTGAGTTTATTTTTGCCGAAATTCAGAGTTTATCAGAGTTTTCTTTTTTTTTTCGTTTGATTCTCAGTTCTCTAAAATTCTGAGTTTAATTTTGCAGTCTTTCCGATTAAAAATTAATAAAGAAATAAATAATATCTGTGCGTAAAGGCACGCTAGATGAAAAAATAAAACGCGCTTGTATCAGTTAATATTTCTTCAGCTGGATTTGGCATTGGTGCCATTGCCATTGGCAGTTCTAATTTGTTTCACGACAAAAGTTTGCACACAAGTGTTGCTTCGATAAACGTCGATACTTTAAAATCAATTCCCATAGGTAGTCGCCCGGAAGCTCATGTTCATCCCATCCTATTTCATCACCCTACCCCACAATGCCGTGCGAGGTGTGGTGGTAAAGGATGTACCTAATAGAGAAGTTTCGACTGTCCCCCTTCCCAATTTAAGCAATCTCTATGGCCCATAGCTTTCACTGTTACAAAAATCGTTCAGCCTTTCCAATCTCGTGAAGAAGGAAGACCAGCGGAGCTGTACTCGGTACACTGTGTGCTTCTTCTTTGTCGTCGTCTGTTTTTCGCGCTGTTTCCTACGATGAATTCCCACCAACGCGCCCAACTATTCATTCTTCTATTATAGCTGGAAAGGTTGCCGCCATCTACAAGCGACGGCGAAAACTATACTGGCTATGTGCTTGCCGCCGTCGCTTATAGATGGCGGTAAATGTCCAGGTAGGTTTGTGTCGACATACACGGACACAATCCTGGGGAACCTAGTCCTTAACAGCTCCGCTGTAAAACAGATCCTCTCCTTCCTCTTGCAGACTTCTAACTCTGATTGCCTCAGATCCTGTCCCCGGATGAACATGACATGGCAATACTTTGCTCTTGACAAAAGGGGGGGTTTCGGGATCGGGAAACCGGTCATCAGCGAGGCCTTGGGGAAGTCTGCTGCCACTGTAGCTGCTCCTAGTCCCAGCTGTGGTCGTCCACACTGCGTCACGGGGATGTTGTCGTCCAGGGTTGCTGTCCGGTCCGTCCGTCAAATCCGCAGCTCAACGTCGCGCCCGCACTTTCCCGCGCCAGCATCCGTCTCCCGCCAATTCCCGCGCCAGCGTCCTCCTTCTCTACTGTCACCACTGCATGCTCCTTCGTGTCCGCCGCCCGAGAGAGCCTCCCATTTGTCCCGCGTCCTTTTGTCAAACCTTGGCCCCTTTGTTCTGAGAAGCCAATCGCGTGACGTCAGTTGGCTTAGGGGTGTGGCACAGCCGAATCTTCTGGTGTGCCAGGCCATCGAAGCTCCCCTAAGGCACCTTGGAGTCATAGAGCGCGTTAAGCTTCTGCCGGGCCCACGACGACGTTCGAGTAGCTGGAATGTCAAGCCCCGAGGATTAGTGCAGTGGAGGGCAGCCAGGCCTCCACACTCTAAAGCACAAATAGTATGACCCAAACAAGAAACCAAAGCAGTTGCTTTTGTGGTGACTTGAAAGTGCAATGACCTGTTGTCCTGATGGACCTTGACGAGATAAGCAATAAGACGCCTTTTGACAGTGGTCTGAGATTTGAAAGACAACTGTGGCAGCATTTTCCCAGGACCATTGACCCTCTGTGCTGATCAAACTTAATCGTAAGCCACTGTTGGATTTTGGGTTGTTTTCTTTTTTTTTTTTTTGGGGGGGGGGGGGGGGGTATTAGCACATCAAAATTCGGAGTTTATCGGATAAAGACCAAAATTTCACCGGTGGGTGTTTTTCAGAGTTTCGGATTCATCCGAAAGCACGGAACTCTAATTATAAAGTGAAACGGACTACGGCTTCTTTCGTCTATGAACGTGACGTTTCTCTCTTTTCCTGCGCAAAATGAGCTAGAACACTAGGGTCTGATTTTTTTTTGAACTCTGCAGTCCCCACGTCATGACTGTGCTAGACCAAGGCCTGAATTACGCATTCCAGCTCCGGTCTGGATAGGTCCGTTTTCAGAACCTTGCAGGCGCACCAGAAAGATGTGACAAGCTGTTCACGTTCATATTGTCTGCAACGGTACGCCTGAGCAATTGCAGCCAATCTCTCGGTGTACCCTTCCCCGAAACCAGGGGCTGAGCATGCCGGCGGGGGTGGCACTGGTAGCCCGGTGGGCACCCAAGAAGGAGCGAAGCACCTTCATGGCCATCATATTCTGCGGTCGCTACCTCGGCATCGTGGTTGCCATGTTGCTCTTTGGACACCTCTCCGGAACTGGCATTGCAGGGGGCTGGCCTTTTCCCTTCTACGTCTCAGGTGCCCACCTTTTGCCTTTCCCTCTCGAGATTTCGTTATTAGTATTGGTGGTTAAACAATAGGTGCAATCTTTTTGCGAATAAAACTAAACTTTTGTGGTATCATTTCTCCGGTTGTTTTCGTGGTCCGCCTGACACCCCCTTGGAAATATGTTGTGTGTTTCAGGAAGAGCACTAAAAAGAAGATTGTGTGTACAGTCACCGACCGATTTTTCGGACTTCTTTGATATTTCCGGCCTAAAGGAGGAACCGTGACCTACTTGACAGATAGAGTGATGTTCACGACCAAAGTTTCGGACAGCTTGAAGTTCGATTTTTCGGGCAAAATTGTCACAAGCGATCGATCAGAAACACCACAGAGAAGCTGCCATTTTTGATTCTATGTTAGCTGCACATGAATTGGCTTGGTTTAGCAGCACCACTAGAGTACTGCATACTTGCCAACTCTCCCGAATTGTCCGGGAGTCTCCCGAATTTTGATCACATCTCCCTATTGTACGGATGCGACCTCAAATCTCCCGAAAAATGGCCGCCGTAGTTTTTTTTTTCTTTATGATGCCCTATCGCTATAATCATCACGCATGTGTCAGTGCGAGTTACTCGAGAGTAGGTTTAGGTTACTCCAGTGGGTTACCAGTTGACAACTCGGAGCAGCAGAGTAAAACAAGGGTAGATTTTCAAACGTCGAGGCACGAAACCTCTACTCCTAAGAAAGTTTGAGCGCATTTTGGAACACGGCTTATATGATCATGGGTGCGCTAAGCTTCAGTTGGTTTTGTCAGGTCGTCGAGTGAAGTGTGGAACGCCGAACTACTCTTTGTGTTTCCCCGAGTTTAGTTGGAACGATCGATGGCACTTTCAAAAGCCAAGAAGAAGTACTTGCAAGTATTTCTTAGATCATGCACGGCTGAGTTTCCGTGCTTTGTCGCTTCGCAGAACGCTGACAAGTATGGATTTTGTACCATGTACGCCTGTGATGTGAGCGTTTTGCACTGCGGCAAGCCCGACATCAAGATAGCACATTGCTTCATGAAAGCATCAGAACATGTTCGTGCTGTAGAAGGGCAGGGCACCATTGGCAGTTTCCCCCAGAACAACTGCGAAGACAGTGTGATCCACGCAGAATGCCTCTTCACAAGGTTTCTTGTCAAAAAAAAAAAAAAAAATGTTTTGACCCCTCCCATTTTGCCCTCCCCCCCGCGTGCGGTCTCCCAAATTTTTATGTTGCTAGGTTGGCAAGTATGGTACTGCTAAGTCCTATCACTAGGTGACGCAATGCTACAGCTTTCTTTTCTTTAGCTGCGCATCATCATCATTGTTCTTATCATTTTACTTAGTTCATTTGCTCTTCTGCAGTTGTGAACTTGGCGTCTTTCATCTCGTCTTGGTGAATCATATTATCGAACCTCATCTGTTCCTCCGCTGCCGCAAAGTGTCACTAAGAAGCGTGGGAAGTACTTGACTGTAACGCTAAAAAGTGAAAGCCGTTTACAACTTCCTGTAACGCCGAATTGGAGCGCAGCTCTTGAGGAGGAGGAGTGGAGGGTATATTCCTCCTCCTCCCTCGTGATTATGCCTGCTAGTCCTCCTCCCCTCCTGCTCCCCCTCCCTCTCCTTTACCACCTTTACCGGGCGGGGGAGGAGGGGGAGGAGGAGGAAGGGGAGGGGCGACGCCGACGCCAACGCCGACGCCGCACAGGCTGGAAACGGGTCATGTGACCCCCTCCCCCCGAGGTCACGTGACCCGCCCGGACCATACTACACAATGAGGGGAGGAGGAGGAGAAGGAGGGGGAGGAGGAGGAGAGGGAGGGGCGCGGTTACGCCGACGGCGACGCCGACGCCGCTCAGGCTGGAAACGGGCCCCTAAGAGCTGCGCTCTAAAAAGAAGGCAGCGATTCTCGTGCTAATAGGAAGTGGCTGAACGCAAATGGAGGTGTAATCTGAAGCAAGGTGCACAGACGTAGCCTGGAGCAAGGCACTATTGACGACTTTTCAGAGCGCAGCTCTTAGGCGCCCGTTTCCGGCTTGAGCGGCGTCGCCGTCGCCGCCGGCGTAACCGTAAGGTCACGTGACCCCCCAGGGTCACGTGAACCCCCCCCCCAGGTCACGTGACCTGGGGTCACGGAGGGAGGAGGGGTATACCCTCCCCTCAGTACCCTTCCCTCCTCCTCCCCAAGAGCTGCGCTCCAATTCGTCCAATTCGACGTTACAGGAAGTTGTAAACGGCTTTCATTTTAGAGCGCAGCTCTTAGGGGCCCGTTTCCGGCTTGAGCGCCGTCGCCGTCGCCGTCGGCGTAACCGCGCGGTGCATCATGGGAAATGTCCCATAATACACCGCGCGAGCCCCCCCACCGGGGTCACGTGACCCCCCGAGGTCACGTGACTCCCCTGAGGTCACGTGACCCCCTCCTCAAGGTCACGTGACCCCCTCCTCAAGGTCACGTGACCCCCTCCTCGAGGTCACGTGACCCCCCGAGGTCACGTGACCCCCGCCGATGTCGCGTGACCCCCCGATGGCGTCATCGTCACTGATGACGTCACCGGCATCCACATCGTCATCGTCATCATCACTGATGACGTCACCAGCATCCACATCGTCATCGTCATCATCACTGATGACGTCACCGGCATCCACATCGTCATCGTCATCATCACTGATGACGTCACCGGCATCCGCATCGTCATCGTCATCATTACTGATGACGTCACCGGCATCCACATCGTCATCGTCATCATCACTGATGACGTCACCGGCATCCCCATCGTCATCGTCATCATCACTGATGACGTCACCGGCATCCACATCGTCATCGTCATCATCACTGATGACGTCACCGGCATCCACATCGTCATCGTCATCGTCACTGATGACGTCACCGGCATCCGCATCGTCATCGTCATCATCACTGATGACGTCACCGGCATCCCCATCGTCATCGTCATCATCACTGATGTCACCGGCATCCACATCGTCATCGTCATCATCACTGATGACGTCACCGGCATCCACATTGTCATCGTCATCATCACTGATGATGTCACCGGCATCCACATCGTCATCGTCATCATCACAGACGACGTCACCGGCATCCGCATCGTCATCGTCATCATCACTGATGACGTCATCAGTGACGTCACTGATGTCGTCACCGGCATCCGCATCGTCATCGTCATCATCACTGATGACGTCATCAGCGACGTCACTGAAGACGTCACCGACATTCGCATCGTCATCGTCATCATCACTGGTGAAGCCATCAGTGACGTCACTAAGGACGTCATCGGTACCCGCATCGTCATCGTCACGGATGACGTCATCAGTGACGTCAGTGATGACATCATCGGCATTGGGGGTCACGTGACCCCCAAGGTCACGTGACCCCCCCCCTGGTTAGTTTACCCCCCCCCCCCCCCCGTGCCCTTCCCTCCTCCTCCTCAAGAGCTGCGCTCTAATTCGGCGTTACAGGGAGTTGTGAGCGGCTTTCATTTTTTTAAGCCATGCTTAGACATAATAAGGGCAATTTTTTTAACCTGATTTTTCAGACTGTTTTATTATTCGGATATTTTTTCGGTCCCTGCAAAGACCAAAAAATCGGTCGACAGTTATAGTGGGTGTTCTGAAAACAAAGCTTTCAGCTGGAAAAGCTTAATAAAGGAGACAACGCTAGCAAAAATTCTAATAGGAATATCTATGAGACTAATAGACATTTCTATGAGACTAATAGGAACTCCTATAAGACTTATAGCAATGCCTATGAGACTAATAGACATTTCTATGTGACTAATAGGAACTCCTATAAGACTAATAGCAGTGCCTATGAGACTAATAACAACTCCTATGAGACTAATAGGAATCCCTATGAGGCTAATAGCAACTTGTATGAGACCAATAGGAATCCCTATGAGACTAATAGACATCTTTATCACATGAGTACAGATGTGTATTAGACTAATACAAAACTGTATCTATAGAAATATTTACTAGGTTAATGTATGCCTTCTATTAGAATAATACAGTTTCATAGACTATTACAAGCATTATGTTAGTCTTACAGAATAATAATAATTAGACAAATTTACACATTCTAATAAGCAAATGGAATGCTCATTAGACTACTTGTAGCACAGCCATTCTATTACAATATTAAATGGGCATATTAGAAAATTGAAACTCGACACCACCAAATAAATATGAACGAATAACCGACATTTATTAGATGTGAAAACCCTTAATTGTGAGCTCGTCCCCTCCGATACTTTGCTGGCAAACAGAGCTTTCTGCTTTGTAATTTTTTTTATCAAACATAGGAGTGAATGTTCACAACAAATTGCCTTCATTGGATCTACAACTCAAAAAGACGAAGATGGACGATTCATTCATTCATCCATTTATTTTTTGTGCTCATGAACAGCTTTTGCCTTCGTAATGAAGTTCAATATACATATAGCAAAATGGGGTACGAAAATTCTAGTGATAATTAAGAAAACACTTGAACGCTATACAAGATGGGTTAAAAACGTCACTACCTGGAACATTTATGGTACTATAAAAGTTTTGAATATGTGTCATGGGGCAAAGCAAGACATAGCTGGTTGCCCTTTACCAAAATGCTAAGTGCTTACACAACCTGTAAATACCCTGCACAAAAAAAAAAATATATATATACATACCCCAAATTTTTTAAAAATTGGTGCATGTCATTCAAAAATGTAATTGAAATTAGGGCCATTACTTATTTGGCAGCCAGTTTTTTACATTGGAGCTGTTAAGGGCTAGTTTCCCCACGATCGTGTCCGGTACCAAACATATGTCGACACCCATGGCTGACACAACACTCTGGTTGCTGCCATCGCTCATAGATGGCGGTAGCTGTCCAGAATGTTGTGTTTGCCGGTTGTCTGCTTGCCGCCGTCGCTGATAGATCGCGACAGCATTTCTTCGGAGGAAGAAGTGCGGGAACGGAACGAGCGGCGATGTGCGCAGCAGTGCAAATGGTTTTGCAACCGCCACGAGGCCGCTATCGCCTAAAGTTAAACTGCATGGAGTGCTTCAGATTCCCTTGCGAAAGAAGAGCAGATCACTCACCTGCAAAGCCATTGCTGAGAACAGAAGCTATAGCTCTGCTGCTCTTCCTTCTTCACCAGAGTGGAAAGGCTGAAAGTGTTTTTATTAGAGACCAAAAACAATGAAGCTTAGTTAGAGTGGTTACATAGATTGTGCTAGATTATAACACCTTTTCATTTAAAGATTACCGAGGAACTACGGGACATGCACAACTCTTTAAAAGGCAGCGCAGTGGTATTCCCAATTTTTTTCAATTGTGGGGACGTGCGCTGCATGGCATAGTTAGCACAAGGATGGCACCAGCCCTTTGTCACAGTTTGCTCATACAGGTCAGCATTGAAGGTCAAACCTACACATGAATACATTCCATCATACTGATAGCTTTGATGGCAGCCTCTTGGTCGCATGACAAGAATATAAAAAATTGGCTAAGGCTGTGTAGTTGTTCTGTGCATACGTGGAATAATATTTAATATTTAAAATTTGTGTTTTCTTTGATGTCATACATTTCGTCCTTTTGTGCTCTCACCGTTGTTGCATTTTAGTTTTGTTGTCATATGTCTTTGTGGCAGGGATCATCGGGATTTCGTGGACAATACTGTGGTATTTTCTGGCTTACGACGACCCCGCTTGTGACCCGAAGGTGGCAGAACCTGAACTATGCAAGATACGAGACACTAACATGGTTGGACCTCTCAAAGTGGAGACAATGGTATGGCACGAGTCGCTAAAGTAGCTCACGATAAATGCGAAGCCCCACATTTTCTAGAGGCTCAGTGTATTCCCCATATCTTTTGGATTCATGGCTTTGCACAAAAAAGACGAACACAAGAGAGAGAAACAAACACGAGCGCAAAACCATGAATCCAAACGTTCACCAACTCGCCCAACAACAAACTATTTTACAGCCCATATCTTTTCTCAGAAGTTTTAGACTGCCATTTCTTCATTACTAAATAGTGTGGGCAAGGTGAGAAAAAATCATTGAAACTGAGACTTTGACTAAGAGGAGTTATAGTTAGGATACGACATCTCTGTCGAACTTGATGCAGGCAGGCATGGGAGACCAACACAATATGCCGACGTTTCTGATCTCGACCACAACAGTTGCTCTTGTTTTTTTAACCTGTTTGTGGCAAAAGGCGAGATGCCATCTGTGACATCCTGCATTTGAATTGGAAAGCTGTCAATGGTACCTTTAGTGTAGAACTAAACCTTAACCCCTGCTTCAATGTTGCTCTATTGCCAGAATCAGGTATTAGCTAAACTCTATTATAGGTGGATGGGTGGCTTCAGTAAGGTGTTGTCTGACCTCATTTCATGGCTCTTCCGTCGTAAATCTCCCAGGTGCTGCCAGTATTTGTTGTTTGTCAGAAACAGGCAGATAAACTAGGAAGAGGAGTGAGTGCTAAGGCAACCTGGTGAAAAAGGTACTTCACGAAACTAAACCCGAGACATGAAAGAGGAAGAAATTAAAAAGATGTGCACATACACACACACAGTGTTGTGTGTGTGCGTGCATGTCTTTTTAATTTCTTCCTCCTTTCACATTCCAGGTTTAGTTATGTTAAGGTTAACGTGGTATTTTCAGTTCTACAGCATGTCCCCCAAAATATTTACAGGATTGTTTTTCACCGCAAAAGTAAACTATGCATCTCAGTCCAAATGTAGCGCTAGTGGTTAATACCAGGTGCCAAAGTTTCAGAAGTAACCATTAATCTTATTAAAAATTTATAAGTGATTTCCTGAAATTTTTAATGGAAAAATGACGGCCAACAGAGCTTTCGAATACATAGAGCTGAATGACGCCAGTTACCGAAAACGGGCCTCATATTCCCGATGAAATGTCTAGATCAGTTATAATTCTTTTGAATGAGATAACAATTAGCTTGGACACTGGCATCTAGTTTAGACCGTGGCGCTAGCGCTACATTGGGGCGGAGAGTGAGCGTTTGGCGATGCATAATTTATTTTTGCCTGTGTTGCACTGTGTAATGTGGCATGGACTTGCCCCTCTATCCTACTTTGGGTCCAGTTTTGCTTTGGTCACCAACCGGATGAGAACAGCAGAGCTTCTCTTTCGGATGTCTCACCTCCAGCATGCGCTTGTTGCCTTCCACCATGCTTTGGCTGCATGTGCATGCTCGAAGCTTGCGAGATCCCCTAGTGTTATCGAAGGTTGAAGGCTCACACTAGAGGCAGGATAGCTTGAGCGCCTCCCTGCCGTTCAGTGACCATAGGCAAGTGCAGTGCAACCACCAACCAGATGTTGTGAGACTGTGTGTGGCAACATAGCACAACAATAGGAGCTGGGGGTAATGTAATTGCTTTGTTTACAGAAGCGACCAGTCCCGTGGGGTGCAGTGCTGACGTCTGCACCAGTGTGGGCCCTAGTGGCTGCACGTTTCTCGAACATGTGGGTGTCTCTGCTCCTTTTCACCAAGCTGCCTTCTTATGCAAAGTCTGTTCTGAGCCTCTCCATCAAGGAGGTGAGAGAGGTTCTCTTCTATAGTGGTGACTTCAATATTTTCACCAGTTAGCAGTTCACAACCGTACAAAGATGGCACAAGTTCTCTCTGGCTCTGATATTTGAAGATTGAACCAGTAAAGATCCAGATAGTTTCCAGCCTTTGTTGTAATTGCACTGGCATATTTAATCAACTTCAAGCGTTTCAAATATTATTTCTTTGACTATCTCTTAGCTCAGAATACAGTGTAGACCGCATATAACGTATGTCTCGGGAGTCGCGAAAATCCGCACTATAAGCGGTACCGCACTATAACCAAAACATCAATTTTTCAGGCCAAAATACATGCCATGAGACAACTTACCTTTGTAAAAGAATTTATTTTATGTTAGATGAAAAATAAAGCTTAGTTTGAGGAAAGTCTTTATTTCACCAGACTAGTACAGTTCTGTCTCAAGTGTGTCACACATTTTGAAAGAAATGAGCGGCTTTTGCCTGGCGCAGCCTTTTAACGGCGTCGTGGGTTGCGGACGGACGTTGCGAGCGTTCAGGATTGCTAACCCTAATCACTTTTCTCCGGAGATGAAAACGCGTGAAAATTTGCATCCTTCATACGGTATGCACCAGTAGTAGCACCTTGAACTTGAGCACACGCATGAAATGCGCCAAATAAGAAATCCGGGCGATGTTCGAGGACACAAATGCTTAGAAATCACCACTGTAGTCGAAGTAAACAAACACGACGACACGGGCGTTTCTGCCGTCTTGAGAGCGCCGCCACGACATCGCCGCACGAGTATGTGGATCTTCCCGTCTAGTACGTGCTGGGTTATCATAGCGACCCACAACGAAAATTCACAGTCAAGGATAGCGCTTTTACGCAGAACAATGAGATGAACAGCCGTCTACGACGACGATCACAACCGACGCCATGTTTGCGGAATAGAAGCAGCCGGCCCGCGACCGGCACCGGCATGCAAATAGCGCGAACACTTCTCCTCAACCTGCGATTGGTCTGTCGTTGCGGTTTGTTTCTTTGTTTCCAACGCAGCGGAGAGACACGCACGTGAACGACTCGTGCGTGCGTCCCTCCGTTGCTCTGAAGCCTCTCTCTTCGATTCTCCCCGCGTTTTCGAGCAACCTCCTCGCCCCGCGAGTGCAGTTTGCGGCTCGCGCCGTTATCTAGTGTCGCCCAGAGAAGCGAGCTCGCTGCTCCGGTCATCGGCGCGGTCGGCGGGCTGTGCCAAAAACCGCACTATAACCGGTATTTCCCTTCGCGCGCCTGCATTTTAAGCGGTATGTAATTACATAGAGTTCTATGGGAGGTGAACCGGTGGTTTAAAAAAACCGCGTTATACCCGGTCCTGCACTATAAGCGGTTACGTTGTAAGTGGTCTATACTGTATCTTTTATCAGCCAACCTTCACAGAGTTCTGCAGTGTTTGACTGTAACGAAAAACTGACACTGTTGTTTCGGTACACAACAGTGTTGCCCGTAGGGAGTATAAAAATACTTAAGTCCCCTGGCAGAATTTGAACTCACCACATTGAGATTGTGAGCCAGGTGCTTTGCCAACAGCTATCCAGGGTTGGTGGTCAAAACACGCAAAAGTGATTTCATTCATGCGGTGCGCACAGGCGCGGTTATGTGCTTCGCAACTCTTCCTGCCATACTGTGTCATCTTGCAGCGTGTGTCAGAAATAAGGGCGATTAATTATTCTTTGGTAGGCGATGCCGTTCAGATACACTTTTCTTCACTGGAAGGCCTATCATGCAGTCTGTGCTTAAGTCTTTGTCAGCATGATCAAGCTTTCTTTTTCCAACTTTTAAAGCTGTGAACATTAAAAGATTGAGAAGCTTGCATTTCTAGAATTTAAAGGAAGTGTTTTTTTTTTTTTTTGTTGCAAAGCAATGAAGGACATGTGTGACACTTGATAATCGTTCTGGGGAAGAGACCACAAGACATTCAAACCCTACACTTCCTTATCTAGTTCCAGAATGTGGGGATGATATGAGTGCTTCCAGAGCTTGAAGCAGTGTGCAGTCGAAACAAAATGCAACTATTCATTGGTTAGGCTTTGGCAGTTTAAACACCTTTTGCCTTTTTAAATACAATTGATAAAGTAACAAAACAAACAAAAGAAGGTTCCTGTAACTTGGAGCCATTTGAAACCTGGACACCATCACCAGACTACTTATCACAATGACGTGATGACATAAACCCACAAACAGAACAAGAACCATCCGGTTCACAGACACCAGTCATTTTTTGTGCTCCCTTTTAGTTAGGTAGTATCTTATTCTGCTTCTGTGCCATTGACACATGTTTTTCTTTCAATTTTTACAGAATGGAAACTTCAGTGCAATTGTGTTTACTTTCACAATCTTCTCCATGCTGGGCTCTGGCGTTTGTGCGGACTTCCTTCTTCGCCAAGGACTGAAGCCAACGTTCGTCAGGAAGTTGTTTCAGCTAACAGGTCAGGCAAGCTCTTGAAGACTTTTTTTTTTATGCTAATAGGTAGTCATTTGCCCACATAAAGCACCACAAAGTATGTTTATGGTACTTACTGTTAAAGTCACTAAAGTCACCAGAATGTCGAGCTGCAGGAACTTTAAAGTTGTGAGACTGCCAATCTCCCGTATAGCCATCCTTTGTAGCGGTACTAGAAACTGAGCAGAGGTTTGGCAACCTTCTTATGTCTAGCCCCCAGCAAGAGCCTCTTTGGGGGCTTTATTTTTGCAATTACTATTGATAAACAGATGTGAATGTTTCAAATTAACTTGGAAATGAGCCCATTAGAGTCAGCTGCATCTTTATGGGTATGAACCTTTTCCAGCTTCTTCCTTCAGCGTTTTAACAAGATTGAACTACAAAAGAAGCTTTTTGCAGTACATATGCTTGCCTTAATACCCGGTCTGTGGGGATGTCCTGGTGCTTTTGACATATGGAGGTGGCTTGTTCCGGATTTTATTGTGATTTTTAAATGAATAAGTTCTATGAAGAGGGTGCTAATTTTCTGTCGCTGTAATTACTATACTTGTCTTGTGCTTCCGAACAGTAGTGGGTCAGATTTTAACCGATTTCTGTCTCGATTCTATCGACATCTGCTACCCCTTACTTCCTTGAAATTGGGACCATATTTTTTTTTATCACATTTATAGTTCCAGATTGTGGTAGGGGAATTTAACATGAAACGAGTGTTTCGATAACAGAATTGCAAACAATGGAAGCAAACATAGGCGACGGGAAGGCTTTTGTTTCCCCCATCCTTCATGCGGTTTCTTCTTTTATTTGTGACTACAAAAAGGCCCAGATCTTTGATTTGGATGGCTGCAGCAAATGGCCGAATGTCGCTTGCTTCCTTCTGTTCTCAGCCAACCTGGGGCCTGCACTGTGCCTTTTTGGGCTCACTGTGGCTGGCACTGACCACTGGCTTGTGCTTTCCTTGCTGGTCATTGGGAAAGTGACGCTAGGAGCATTCACCGGTGGAAACGCACCCGCAGTCGTAGATTTGGCGCCAATGTACTCGGGTGAGTTGTTCCGCCCCATAAATTGTACAGGCTTTGACCAAGAATGTATTTCAAGACAGATGTTTATTAGTTTGTCTCAGGCACTGAGCAGTTTGTGTGGTTCTTGTTCGCGTTTTCGTTTTTTTAAATATTATTTTAAAATTCGGCCTTGCTCTGTAGTGGTATTGCTTTAAGATCACTCGTAACAGAAAAGTATCTTTATTTTGCCTCCATTGGAGGTACTTTTTCTTGCGGACTGCTCCTGTTGCCCATTTGATTCTTAGTGCTTTGAATGATCATTTAGTGGATAAGGGGTCAAGTTGGGAGCTTGATCTGTACTTCGAAATTTTGCTCAATGTACCTACTTGTACCATGTTTGTTTCTTTGTATCTCAACTGTCCATGAGATATCTTAAATTTTGTCATGGCTTGCCGGCAATGTTGTCTCATAGGAATGATTGCATGGTGTAGAGAAAATATTGTTTAGCATTTTTGTGCCTGTGTTTGAGAGCTTTGAGCATTGATCTGCATGTTGTGGAATCACAGCAAATATGTTTTTTTTTTTTTTTTTCTTTTTTGAAAGCCACCCTGAATGGGATGATCACAACCTTTGGGCAATCAACGGGCATATTCGCTCCTCTGGTTGCTGGACTGTTGATCGATCCCACAGTAAGAAATTTTACTCTTTTTAAACTCCCTGCTTGGCACTGTCCTGAAATTAGAATGCATTGCCATTTTTTATCGGGTGTGACAAGTGGAAACTTCCTGAGAGTGGGGAGTTTTCTAAACTAGACTTCCAGTTGAATACTGGTCCCATAACATTTCTTGTGTTTAGGTATTTTGTTTCATGGCATTTGAGAGCTTTGTCTAGTACTGGGATGTGCAGTCTTTTCGGTGTTTAAGCGTGGGTCTGTAGCAGTGTGCTTTGCTACATTTTAAATCTACTTGAAAATGGACCTTCTGGAGGAGGTCTGGCAGCTGAACATGTTAGTGCACCACAGCTTGGTGCACATGGAGTGAAATGTAGTGCTGCAGAATGCAGAGATCCTGAAAGACAGCCTCTTCACAGCAAAGTCTCTTTTTGGAATGTCAACCACCAACCTACAGACCTTGTAACCAGTAGTCCACACACTAGGGAAGTTATGCATCAATAGGTGGCTCAGATCTGCTAAGCTAGTTCCTAAACTGGAAAGACACTTTACAGTGAAACCCGTTTTGAATGAACCCACGTACAGCGAATTATTGTCGATATCGAACTGATGAAAAGTTTAAATAAAAATGCATGTAAAAAGTATGCTTTATAACAAACAACATATTGGCTATATCTAACTTTTTCCCCCGGGAAGGCTTCCAAAAGGGCGCAATCTACCTGTCCCTTCCCCTAGAAAAGAAGTAGGGAAAAAAGAAAATTCCAAAAGCTCAAGTTGCGAACAACAATAAGCGACGAGAAGCGACTCAGAAGGGGAGAAGGTGAAAAAATACCCTGCTGACACACGCACACAAAAACAAAAATTCATCCCAAAGCGTTTGTTCACGAAGAGACGCTATTCAGAAGGAGAGATAAACTAAAAAAAACTCTGCACGCATACAAAAAAAAAAAAAAATCTAGTGCGAGGTTACATGGCGGAAGTCAAGAGATGAGAAAAAAAGAGAAGATCTCGCCTTACAACGAACTCATCGGGGAAGTTTGTTGTAGATGTTTTTTGCTATATCGAACTACTTGCTATATCGAACTAATCATAGCGTTTCCTGCTGTTCGTTATAAACGGGTTTGACTGTACTTAGGTAGTACCTAATTTGGAAAGACACTTTACTTAAAAAGCACCGAAACTGGAAAGACATATTACTTAGGGTGTACCTAAACTGGACATACACTTTACTTGGAGTGTACCTAAACTGGAAAGACATTTTACTTAGATGGTACCTGAACTGGAAAGAAACTTGAGTTGGATACACTAGTATCTAATCTGGAAGGACACTTTACTGGAGAATTTTGAGCGCTTGAGAAACCCTTGAGGGTACTCTGGGGAACCCCTGGTGCTCTGGGGAACCATTGGTGCCCTGAGAAACTTCTTGCACACTGGGGAACTTTTAATACTCTGGGGAACTTCTGGTACTCTGGGGAACTTCTGGTATTCTGGGGAATCCTTGGTACTCTGGGGAACCCCTGGTACTCGGGGAACCCCTGGTACTCGGGGAACCCCTGGTACTCTGAGGAACACCTTGTAGTGGGGGGAACCCAGTTTGAGGACCCATGCTCTACGGAAGCAGTGTGGTGAGTTGGGACAGTTCACACTGAAAGAATAAAAACACAGAAAATACACGAGGGACAGACACACACAGTTCTTTCAACAAGCCACTACATTTAAATGATGCCCATTACACTATGATGAACCACCTAGGATATGAAGAAAATTAAGTGAAGACGAAAATACTAGAAGGTACTAGAAAAAGATAAAGAAAAAGGTAAAGATGGCGGAATTTAACTTCCTGAAAAGGAAGAAGAAGAAGAAGAAACGGGAGATGTTTTCTTCCTTTCCAGGAAGTTAAATTCCGCCATCTTTACCTTTTTCTTTTTCTTTCTCTTTTTCTAGTACCTTCTAGTATTTTTGTCTTCACTTAATTTTCTTCATATCCTAGGTGGTTCATCATAGTGTAATGGGCATCATTTAAATGTAGTTGCTCGTTGAAAGAACTGTGTGTGTCTGTCCCTCGTGTATTTTCTGTGTTTTTATTCTTTCAGTGTAAACTGTACTCTATCCAACGCGCTCTGCTATGTAAACCGAGTTGGGACAGTTGGTTGTCCTGTTGCCCTCTCCTTTGTGCACTGTTTTTCATCATGCCATGCTCTATGTATCAGTGACTAATCACCTGATCCTTTCCATGAAATGCAGAAGGGCAGTCAAGTGGCACACTGGTCCCGAATCTTCTACCTGTCAGCAGCCATAAGTTTACTGGGAGGGGCCATCTTCGCCATTTTCGGATCAGCCGAAAGGCAGTGTTGGGCTGATCCGGATTACAACAAGTCAGTGCGGCTGAAAGACCCTGCTGAGGAAGGAGTCACTTCAGAATCTGTGCTGATCAGTGCAACAGAGCTGCCAGCCTCACAGTTGCCGGTGAACAGTTAATTGTGCCTGGAGTGTTCTGTGCCAAAACCAAACTTTTTTTTTGTGGCTCTTCAGTGGAGCTTGATGTAACAGTGCCTCGAGAACAGTCAACATTGGAAGGAGGAGTATGCTTTGTGATTCAGTTAGAAGATATGTGTCACCTTTCATGATTGCAACGTCATCACTTGGACATGATCCTTTGAGGACAATCTGCATTGTTTGTCGTTTCCTATTTTGTATGATGTTTGGTGGGGAATCCTTTTAAGACCTGTTTTGTGGTTTGCTTTTACTGGGGTCCTGAGGCCTCCAAAATCTAAACAAGGGAACCGTGCTTCATAGAAAAACAGGGGCCAAACAATTTTTTTAATTTTGCTGCAGATCTGCAGATACGGCTCTTGTTTATATGGTGAAACATTATTATTAACTAAGGTCTTTTAACTCTTTATTTGCAAGTTTCCTGAACTGTTGATTTTGTTGTGATACTTTTAGCATGTTTCACATGTAGTTTATTTTTTACTTTGCTGGAACCCCAGCATATGTGTTCAGTGGAAGCAAAGGTCCATTTATTATACATTGACAGCTCTAGATCTGAACTTCCAAGCTTTTAAAGGCACACATTGTGTTACAAACTGCAATGCCAGGAGGTCAAGTAGAGTGCCTATCTAGTCCTGGAGACAACTAATTGCTGGGTGAAGGTTTCAAACAAATACAGGAGTGTAATGGGCCTCAGGCATTTTGCTGTGTTTTGGTACTAAACCTGAGATGTCCAAGATGTTTGTATTCAATTGTGTGACAAACAAAAGCAATCTTCAGCTATGTCTGCTGCTCATCAGTCTTGTTGCCCTACATTGTCTGGCGATGCAATAAACATGATTTTAACTTATTCTGACGTACTACATGCCGATTTCAGAGATGCACCTAGTGGTTTTTCAGTTCCGCTACCTTAGATGGCGCCAGTGACTTACAGGGGTTGACGCTCTGAGACAGGGCCTAGGGCAGTCTGCATTTCTGGTCCCAATACCCAGGATGTGATTTCAGGTGATGTGTCCGAGTTTACATTCCTGTTATCTTTTATGTCTCTGAGTCTCTAGTGTCCCGATGAAGTGTATCCTTCAAAGAGTGTATCCTTCAAAAGTCACGAGGATCAAAAGAGGTGACTGCTAGAGATATGTTGAGCATCTTGAGAATGCAGCTATGCTGAATTTCAAGCTACATTTGCTTGATCCTTTGAAACCAATGCTTATTCTGGTCAAAGGCAGACACTCACATTTCAAAACCTCCTGGGGAAATGTATTCATAGTGTACCCAGCCATTCAAAAGGGACCAGTTGTCCACTGATATCAAGTGTAAAAATATTTTTGTACACTTCGCTGTTTCCTTAGCTTTTGGACACTGGATAAATCCATAAATATAGTTAGTGGTTGCTGGCACCAATTTTGTGTTATATGTCTGAAACAAAGTTACTCAATTAGGTGCACAGTTTGTGTGCATCACATGTGTGTCCCACTTTGGCTTGTGGGCGTTTGAGACGCCTTCTACTTGCTGCAAAACTTGGGCTGCGGAAATTCACAAGAACTTTTTGGCGTCCTGGTCCTATAATTTCTCTGCAATAATTCTGAGAGCAAGAACATAAGATATTGGACACCATCATTTTTTTCAAGCGCTAATACCCGAATCACTTGAACTGACGAACCAATAGAGAGTTTTAGCAGATCGTTTTTTCTCTCCTCTCGCCTCCAGCGGCCTTGGGCATGCATCGTTTCGTTATGGGGTGTCGTTATCGGAGCAAAAAACGATCCGCTAAAACTCTCTAATACCCCCCCCCCCCCCCCCTCCCTTTCCCACCTACAAAAAAAAAAATTGCACACTATAAAAGTTTGATGATGCCATTGGTCAAGCAACTCCAGAAGGTAGGGCGAGGGTAAGGCGGGCTGGGAAGGAGGAAGCAGACGGAATGGTAAAGAGAGAGGGAGCTTTCCCCTTCTCCTCTCCAGCGTTCCGTCTGCTTCCTCCTCCCCGGCCCGTCTTACCCTCGCCCTACCTTCTGGAGTTGCAATGGATTACAGTGCATCCTTTTTTTTTTTAGATACAATGGGGTCAAGACACTTGATGCAGCTTCGAGGAATTGCTTGGAGTTTTTCGCAGAGGTATTTTTGAACCGGCGTTTCGGAATAAACGACGATTTTTCATCCGTTACTTAGGTACTGTTTCATATTGGTAAAATACAGCCGCTTTTTTGCTGTGAGCCGAAATCTAGAACGAGCCAGTCATAGAAAAATTCGACAAGGGAAGAGACGGGTAGAAATTCAACACCTTAGGTGCTAATTTTTTTTTTTTTTTTTATAAACAAAATGTAAAAAGAGAAAGCTGAAGTTAACGGTAATTGAAGCATGGTGAGAGTAAGCGGAGCAAGAGGGATGACAGTGCTCAACCGTGCGGCACTGCACTGTCATGAAACACCCTTCCGGCCTTCCAACGGCCGCAGCTTGTTCTCCAAAGTCCACTGAAAGTGAAACTGATGTCATTTGAGCTAGGACGATGCTAGAAATTAGTCGTTACCTGTCGCACAAAGAATTGCATTAATCAAAGAACGGCTGATTTGATAATGTAAAGCTCCAAGTTCCGCGATCATCTGTTCGTACAAGAAAATTTCCTCACGTTTACAAGAAGTCATCCTCTGGAGACGACGACGGCCAGGGAAGCTAACCAGGGCTAGCGTCAACTGATATCATCCCGCGAAAAGGCCAACTTAAATTGCGTAATTGATTAGGCATCCAAATAAAATTTTCGTTTGATGAATGTGTCGGTTTGTCCTCCCAACACCAGGGCTCATCTGATGACTGCATTACAGCGAAAAGCCGAATATCTAAACCTATCGAGGCTCTTAACAGTTATCAGTACAATAATCGTTCAGTGAATACAACTTTTTCCACGGTCTGTTACGGAAAAGGCCCCAACAAGTGCCTTCGCGGGACACTAGGCCCACGCCTGGAATGAAGAAACGGCGAAATTGACCGAAAAACATTTTGGCCGTATCAGCGCTGATAGGAGGCAAATACTTTCCGGATAAGGGGCCACAGTTTTCGCTTTCAGGCACTATATGGTGTGTGTTCTTGCCTCATGAACAAGGGGCTCTACGAAGACACTTTCGGGTCTGTTTTAATCGGCAGGACTAGTTTTAGGCATCCAAATAAAATTCTCTTTAAAAATTGCGCATTTACAATTTTTTTTTTCCAATTATTCCTTTATTTCCAGCTTTAGAAGTTCTTCCCACCAAGGCCAGGGTGTTGCAGCGGCAACATGGTGTTAGTGGAGTTTCCGTCGCCTAGAAGGGAATAACAGTGAAATTGGCTGGAAAAGTTTTGACTTCATCGGCGCTGATAGGAGGCAAAGATTTTTCTGATAGGGGGGCCGCAGTTTTCAATTCCAGGTACTATCAAACCAAGCTACTAAATCCGGTCTAATTGGAGAGATTAATTAGGCATCCAAATCAAATTTATTTTGATAATTAAGTGTTGCTTTTAGTTTAATTGTTTCAATTAGACCTTTATTTACAGGCTCCAGTTCTTCCTCCCAAAACCAAAGCTGATTTTACGAATGCATTACAACGAATTAAAAGCTCCTCCCCAGACGTACTTCGCTAGAAAAATTTTCTCAACCTGTAGGCTCGTTCGGCGAATGCAATTTTCCCACGGTTTGTTACAAGGAGAAGCCGACTTCCAGAGCATATAAAAGCACGCGCCACCAGATGCGTCTTCCGGCGCCATGGGACTGCTTGAACAACGTAGGTACAGAAATGGACCAAACACGTTTTATCCTTATCAGCGCTGATACGTGGTAAAGATTTTCCTGATATGGTGCAGTTGTCACGACCTATATATGAGCGTACCTTCTTGCCTAACAGACAACGAACTCTGTCAAGAGACACCACTAAATCCACTATAACCGGAGGGATTAATTAGGCATCCAAATAAAATTTATTTGAACGAGTGTCGCATTTGTTTCTCTAAGGTGGCCCTCTATCCGCAGGCTACAGACGCCTTCAAGCAGCTGTGCATGGGCGCCGCCATAACCGACCTTCTTTTATTCCGTTTAGTTCCCTCCATGATTACCACATCAGGACAGACGAGACATTGCCATATTAGATTTTATACTGTGTCCTTCTTTCCAAGCAGTGGTCTTTGTCGAAGCGTATCAACGGCCGTTTCAGTGGCTCGGCATCTCGGGAAGGCAAGCGGTCAGCAATGGCGGCTCAAATCTGGCGCGTGTTCGACGCTACGTTCCAATGTATGCCAATGAAGCAGTGCCAAAAGTTTATCACCACGGCGCTCGTCCCTATCACCGGCTAAACCACTCACGCACAACGCCGTGATCCTACGCTGCCCCCCCCCCCCCCCCCCCCCCCCCCCCTTTGTGACTGGTTGAGCCGGTGATATTGAACACGCAAAGCCGACGAGCGTCGTGACGATGCCCTTTTGGCACTACTTATTGGTTGGCTCCAACGCGGTGTGTCACGAGAAGCCGAATTTCGAGCTGACTAGCGCGTGCTGGCCGAAGATACCGCCACCAGAACAAAACAAACGAAGGCCAACATTGAATCTGCTGCAATTGGAGGATTTGATAGCCGGCCCAATAAAATGCCCTGTCATATGCGCATGCTGTATAAATTTAGCTTTACAATTCGACTTGCATTTCAAGGCTTATTAGCGTATAATTGACATGCTTCATTTCCCGATGTTCTTTGGCTAGGTGTTCATGAAGCCCAGATAGAAGCGTGCCCGCGAGGCTCGACACCGATTGGTTGACGGGTGGGAAAGGAGCGAGGTGCTCGACGTTGATTGGTTAACAGGGAAGTCATATAATTTCATTTGATTACCTAAAAAAAACGGAAAGGTATTACATAAGGAATAGGTACAGTCGTACAGTCGCCCAATTTTTTAATAATATCACGCGAGTGTCGATCTCCGGGACGGCCAGCTCTGTGCCGCGGAGAAATGCGGCGTCACGGGAGAGATTAGGCGCGTGCGCACAAAGCTCTCTCCGGTGCGAGCGTCGTCTGCTAGGCTATTCTGTTGACCGCACACAGCCCCTGTTCCTTATCTGCTGTCATAGCTGACCGCCTTTAAGCAAAGATCTGAGCAGCGCTTGCTTGCGTGATACCGTGATACTGCTCAGACGTGAAAGAAACCGCGCGTCATCTCGTTTAATTTAGTTTTTTTTTTTATTCTTTTATTTTTTGTTTGCGTTTACTTTGTCAGCACCAAAAAAAGAAAAATACGATGACGCAACAAGCTGAATGCAACGATGCATTAAACTATATACCGCAGCCAATGCTACGAGCCATCAAAACCAATCCAGTGCTGTCACCCTGCCACGTGACATCGTGCATCCACGTGCAGTTGTGCGCAACAGGAAAGCCACGTGACACTCTCTTAGCGATGGACTGGCCAAGATGGCTCGTAGCGTCGGCTGCGTTAAACCGGCGCAAGGCGCTCCTCTGCTACAGTCCAGGGACTGTGTGCGATCAGCGGAATAGCCTAGCAGACGACGCTCCCCGGAAAGGGCTTTGTGCGCACGCGCTTAATCTCTCCCGTGACGCTGCATTTCTCCGCGGCACGGCACTGCCCGTCCCGGCGGTCGACGCTCGCGTGATATTATTAAAAAATTGGGCGACTGTACATGAATGGGGTATACATAGATGCCAAACGATGGGCTGTTACATTTTCTATGAATGTTGATGAGTAGGTGATACTTGTTGTGAGAAAAACCGTTCCAGTCTAGAGGTGCTGGGAGGGGGGGGGGGGGGGGGCGAAGGGGAATGAAGCAGAAAAGGTAGTAGTGCGGGTGCTTGGGCGAGCAACTTGGATAAAATGACTTGTGCGC